TCGAGTTAGTAAAGATTGTAATTGTAATATTATATTATTTTCTTTTTTTCGTGCACGATCAGCTTTGTTATTCGAATTTAATCTAAGAGCGCAATCTTGAATGTGAATAATAAAAATAAAAATAAAAAAGAAATAATTCGTCGTCATCAGCATATTTCGTATACGCGTATTTATATGCTATGTGCGTGTACGTATGTATAATATGTTAGTCTAAATTCGCAAGAAAAACAAAAATTTATTCAAAGATAAATCATTTTGATGATACGTTAGCATTAATTCCGTTTCGTCATTCGAAAGATTTAGTTTTTTTTTTTTTTAAAGATTATTCGTTATCGCAACTAAAAATATAATTCATTTTTAATTGAATGAATATTAAGTTATCTACGTGTCTTACTATCTGACAATTTGTTTACGCGATTTCTATGAATTAAACTAATAAATATATACTTATATTGGAAATTATCTTATCGGTTATAATTAACTTTCGTTCAGATTTCATTTTTATAGAAATTTGAACGTCATCAATTTAATGGTGTTTATTTCTGAATTGAACTATTTTCTTATACATACATGTATATATATATATATATATATATATATATATATATATTAGTAATTTTCTCCTCAAAAATATTAAAACTTTCTTATTTCGTTATAAAAATTCTTCTGTTATACTAATTAAAAATAATGAACATTTACTTGGACTTCTATTCAGTTGTTGATGTTAGTATTATCTGATAATATGTTTACGAATAATTTAGTAAATATATTTATTATTTTATCAACATTAATCAGCTACTATTACAATCTTCATAAATGAGGACAATTTTCAACGATATAAATATACAAAAATTTATTTATTATTAATTAGCAACGAGAACTATTCCATATACATTATATATATATATATACGTTTTTATAATGTATATTATAAACATATATAATAAAAATTGAAGAAAGACGAAAATTGACTCGAAGATGCAGTTAAAACGATCCCGATTGGCAATCGCTTCTGGCCAATCTTATCCGGTTTACCTGCGTGCATTTACCTGCATCGTTATAGTGCTCTTTACGGCTGCGTGTCTTTACCTTGGCCTTTAAGATTCTCAGAAGAATCTCAACTTCGATCTATCGATTCGTACAATTCGATTTTCTATCTGAAAAGGGTAGTTATCATTTTAAAATAAAATAAATTATCTTTAATGAGGACTCGAGCAAATGTGTATTAGTCATATCGTCGTATAAAATAATTTCTAAAATTTCAAAACATAGAATATTTTTCATGAACTCCAAATCATAATAGATATTTCCTAAACTGTAAATTTTAATTTATTTTTAACGATAAACTGAAAATTAATATTATAAATTCATCGGATGATGATTAACAGTGTCATAGAAAAACGAGTAAGCATTAATGATTTTTAAATCATCAAATAGAAAGTTAACTTCATATAAAATTGTTGATAGATCAATAAAAAAAAAAAAATCAATTCATTCTTAGAATAGTTGTTTCACATTTATTACGATTAATTAATTTTCTTCTAATTATTATTTTAATATTACAATGCATAAAATAATAAAATATACATGATAGTCTTATTTAAAAAATATATATATATATATATATATATATATATATATATATATATATATATATATAATCATTACAAATAATTATGGGAAAATGATTGAAACCTCTTTTCCGAGATTAGAAGGGAGAGAACTTGGATTATTACTTGTAACATACGGGCATATAAGGGTTCTCCATTCCAACGCTTACCAATGGGGGGTGTGTTTTCAACCCCGAAGAGATTCTCATGAAGCTAAATATATCGACAAATGGGGAATCAGTTCAATTTCATGGTGGCCGTGTTACGCGTGTCGTTTGGATATTATCAGCTTGACCCATGCGGGTTCTTTCTTTCTTTCTTTTGTGGAAAATCCGTTTGTTATACTAGTCACGAACGAGTCATGAATAATTTTCGATTGCCAAAATTAATTCAGTTTCGTCAATTAGTTAATAGCTTTATAAATAAGGCACATTTTTCGTTAATTTACATGTAAATATATAATAATGACACATGTAAAATAAATTATTTTCTATTCATTTAGATATTTTTCTTTAACTTATTAACTGAACTTATTAATTGTAAATGCAAATAAATAAACATAATGTTCTTAGATCTATTGGATCTATTAGATATCCTTTGGAATAAAAAATTAAAAATATCTCGTAGGTGCGACCATAATAATAATAATTATTATTATTATTATGATTACGGGTTCTCATTGATCATCTAAGAAAGTGTCGATCTTACGTACGATTGGAAAAGTTCAACAGAACATAGACGACGACGACGACAACGACGACGAGGTTGTTCTCGTGTGTGGTTTGTTCTCTGGGTGATTCAACACGACCAACCTCGATAGAAAGGAATTAGAAGGGATCGGTGAGGCGTTGGGGTCGACGGCTAGAAAAGAAGAGGTCGTCGTATTGTTACGAATCTCCGATTCAAACGAGTACGATACTTGTCCACGATACACACCGATGTATAAGAGGCACAATGATCATAATAATGTCCACCAATTACCACCGCTTTAGATCAGAAGAAGAAAGAGAAAAAAAGAGAGAGAGAGAAAAAAAGAAAGATAGAAGAGAAGAAGGGTCAAAGAGGGAAGAAGAGGGGTGATGGTGATGGTGATGGTGATGGTGGTGAGGGCAAAGGCTGGACTTCATTCACGCTTGGATCTTTTCATTCGAACGGATCGTTCGTGATGCTCTGTTATGTCTGAGAACGATGCACAACCAACCATTGACATTTCTATGCAATACTTTTTTCTTTTTAACTTTCTTTCTTCCTTCCTTTCTTTCTTCCTTTCTTTCTTTCTTTCTTTATTTTTTTAGTTTTTATTTCTTCGTTGTCAAAAGAAAAGATGTAACCGTATTAGAGGGAAAGTTAAAGTGGATGAAAGATTGATTAATTAAAAGAACAAAAATTTGTAACTGTAATGTGTTTAAATTAAAGTTGTTTAATGAAAGAAAAAAAGAAATTCAATTAGTGATAGTTAATGAAAATGGTGTTCGTAAATAGTCTTTCATACGATTCAAATTATTTTCTTTTCCTTTATAGTTAGTCATTATAGAGTAAAAGTTGTTGTGACATAGAGTTTAAAGATTGAAAATTTATGATTAAGATACATTTATATTTAAATAATCAATAATAGATAAACAAAACACGTTAATTCTTTATCGTTTTATCCTTTCTCTCTCTGACGATATATTTTGTTTCTTTTCTTTGTTACTCATCTAATTGTCAACTTTTCTACTAATGGGGAAAAACCATTGGAATATAAGATGTCTTCCTGTCAAAAGTTAAGTTGAGGTGTTACACGTCGCTTTGAGCAGTGAAACCAAACTACAAAGAAGTTTACAAGTCACACTATATCCAGAGTATAGAGAAGAGAATATACAAAGATTTGAAAATCGAAGGGTTCTTCTTCTATGGGCGCGCGAAAGCAGTTACAGCCTCAACTCGACGAGTAAGTTGGTCCGAAAAGGGGGAAGCTTTTTCCGATTGGTTGTTGGAAAGGATGCTGCGTTGCCGGTTTGCGTCTGGATGCTTCGTAATCCGTAAGACTGGAGAGAAAGAGGGGACGATAAAATGAGGGGTAGCGACACGCCTCACGATTGGCCGGTATCAGCTGTGCCGCGTCCCGGGAACCCTCCCACCAATCGGGCTTCCGAACGTCCCCCCCACTCTTCTCATCTCATACGAGTGTGCGACGCTAGGAGCGGCGGACGTCCTACGCGGCAGTTTACAATCGGGCGTCTAACGAGGAACATCTCCTCGACGAAAGAATATAACAGATATATTTAGTAAGTGTGGCAAAAGCCTAACCGGCTTGTTACAATAATTTATTTGGTTTTTTTTTTCTGTTTTCGTTATATTAATCATTACGTACACATTATTATTATTACTTATTATTCTATTATTATTATTATTACTAGAATTATTGTTATTATAGTTCTTTTTTTTTATAACCAACAAAAAACCATTTAACAAACTGAAACATTATCGTCGACTTGTTGTTGTGCTCTTCGTTCGTATTCCCACGTTGATATTTTTTTTGTCATTATTTTATCTTCTTTATCTTCTTTATCCTATCTAAGAAGAGAAAAGAATAATAGATAAAAAAAAAGGAGAACGAATAAAGAAAGAAGTGTTTTTCTCTCATCGTTAATAGATAAAGTACTACTCTATATATTTATGTACGTGCCTTCAACAAAACATCAACGAAAAGAAAGACTTTGTAGTTTAAACGAAGAAGAACAATTTTTAACTTCGAATTTCTTACGATATTTATAGAATTGAAGAACGTTTGGAAATATAGTAGTAATAGTTAATAATAATCGCAAAGATTATTTCGATAATTGTTTCGTTTTAAAACGAACACTTCAAAGGGATACGAAGAAAACTATAAATTTTTGTAATGATACGAATATAATATATCAACGAAAATACTTTTCTTTTCTATTCTTTTTTTTTTTCTTTCTTTTTGTTTAAACATTACTTTCTTTCGTTCTCCTTTCTAAAGAAAGAAAAAAAACAACTTTTATTTTCGTTCATTATACTTACTACACATATATAGCGACAAATAATAACTTGTCTTCTCCCGGTGTACTTTTGACGTGTTGTGTTTTCGACGTAAATATACCATTCGATGAATCGACGACGCTTAACGTCGAATTGTGCCAGTTTATTAATATTATTTAACAAAGAATTAAATAAAAAAATATATATACATGTAATTAATATTAAATAATTAATTTTTTCATCTTCGTTTTTTGTGCTCTTTTGAAGTTTTTCGTTGACTACGAAGAGATTACGACGAGGAAGAGAAAGAACGAGAGTTTCTCTCTTTGGTCTTTATTTTCTAAATAGTAAAAGACAAAGAGACAAGGAGGGAGGAAGAAAAAAGAAGAAGAAGAAGAAAAAGAAGAAAGAAAAAAAACTATAATTCTTTTTCTTAAAAAGTGTTGAAGTTCAAGTAGAAGAAAAATAAAAAGGGAAGATAAGACAAGATTGAACGGATACGTAGTGTTTTTGTGCATCAATAAAAAAAAAAACAACAACAGAAATAAAAGAAAGGGAAGAAAGGAGAAGAGGAGAAGAGGAGAATAATAAAAAAAAGAAATTAGAAAAGAGAAGAAAATCTGAAAGAACATGTCGACTGCCGTCATGACTACTTCGTCCGTATTCGAATGCAGCGAGTCTCTCTTTAAGGTAATGCTCAATAACACTTATTCTATACTTATGTATACACCTAATTTATGTTTTTACACGATAGACACGTTCTCGAAGAATACGTGTAAAAAAACATATATATATATAGCATTTTCAGAAGAATAATTTCTTTTTATAAATATAATTGTTGTTTATACTCTCGAATGAACGTAGAAAAATTAATTCCGTTTAAAGAAGAACTTTTTTTTTCATAAAAATAAAAATAGTGTTGAATCAAAATCGTGTAAAAAATAAAAAAAAAAACAATATTTAGGTGTATTGTTTATTTTATATACATTTTTCTTCATTATTATTATTCTTATTCTTGTAGTATAGATTAAAACTTTATAATCATATTTATTTGATAAGAATTCGTGTCCTTCGAATTCTTTTTCTTAAAAATGAAAAGAAAGAGACAGTTCTCCGGTTCTCTTGGACAACCGGAAAGGATCAGAAAAGAAAAAGATTTTAGAGTGAAGAAAGATCATTGGGTTTGGTTGGGTTGGGTAGGTTGGATAGGTTAGATGGATGGATGGATGTATATAATAGTAAGGATAGAAAGAGCGTGAGAGGAAGAAAAAGAGAATAAAAAGGAACGTCGTTTAAGTGAGAAAGAAGACTCTCTTCATCGAGACGTAAATAAAAGTATACGAGAAACCTATACGACGACTACTCTCACCTAAACGAAACACAACGTGGAACGTTCTCTTCAGTTTCTCCTTCGAGTTTCTCTCGGTGGGACTCTCTTTTGCTCACTCGAGTACCATTTTTTTACGATGAGACATTTCGTTATGGCCCATCACTTTTTCTTTGGGATTCTTTTTCTCTTTCTTTTTTTAAACATTTTTTTTTATTTCTCTCTCTCTCTCTCTGTCTCTCTTTTTTCTTATCTTGTTATCTAGCACCTTGTTTTTACACATGCAATATTTATTTTATTCTATTATTCAATATTTTATTTATTTCAATATATATATCTAACTATAACATATACTTTTATTTTTTTATCGACTAGGTAGGGGAGGGGGGAAATTTTTGGATTATACGTTCTTTTATTTATTTTTCTTTTAATCAGGGTTTTTATTTCGGTTCGATTATTTATCGAATTTTCGTTATAGAAAGATATCAATAGCCCGCCATTTTTCTATACGAATGCTATATTTTCTGATTATATCTATTTATTTATTTAGTTATTTATTTTTGTTAATTACGAATTAGATAGAAATTATAGTTTAGGAATTATTATACTATTTTGGTTATTTATTATTATATATTAGTGTAATGAAAGTGGTTGAATTAAACACGTCATTTTTATGATACGATTCGATAGCCCGCCATTTTTTTTGATAGATTTATTTTTGGTAATACGTAATTTATCGCATGACAGACAACGTGAAATACATGTCTAAAGTAGAAAGGGGTAAAGGGGTGCTAGATTATAACGCATCTTTTACATACCGATATATGAAAGAATGTAAGTTAATATTTCATTTTAAAAAGAAAGAAAAACAAGTAAATAATTAAACTATGTTTGTTTCTGATTGATGTAAAATTATTATTAGAACTTTCAAACGTTACTTTACCGATATTTAAAAGAAAAGAGAAAATCGAAATCTTTTTCTATCGACAAAAATTTCTACGAAATTTCGTATGATCGATAATAATAATTAATATGAAAGAAGATAACAATATTATCATTTATGTACATTTATCTGTATTTGATGATTACTTATTAAAGATTTGTATAACACGTGTTAAAAATAGTTACGAATTTTCGCGTTTATCTACGATTAGTTTAGAGAAATGTTTTTCAAAATTTCTGAGAAATAGAATAACAGAAGAGGTGGGGGGTAGGAGGAAGATAAGGAGGTGGTGGTGAGGTTAGAGGAAACAAAATAAAACAAACGTTCTTGAACTATCGTTCTCGTTAAAAAAAAAAAACAAACAAAAAAAAGCAGAAAAAGCTCTTCGTACTTTCGTGACATTTTATTTATACACATATATTTCTATAAACTTTCCTATTTGTCTCTTATTTCTTTTTTTTTTTTTTTTAAACCTCCTACTCAACCTTTACTCTTTCGTTGTATTCTTCCTCGACTCAAAGGGAACATAAAAAAAACAAAAAGGGTTTAGCATAGAATAATTAAATACAAATTATGTTCGTACTTAACTCGATCGTTAGACAAAATTATTCCTAAAAACCCTTTTCACGATTGTGTAATAATTAAATTTAGATTTAACGAATTTCGATGATTATATTTGTTGTTTTTTTTTTCTTTTTTTTTATTTAATATATATATAATACATGTTTTTGAATCAAATCGTTCTTGCCTTTCTTACTTGCGTTTCCCAACCAACGTGTTTACATTTTTTCCATGCGCACTTTTCTATATGAGTTTATACAGCATACATATACATATATATATATATATATATATATACACGCACGTACAACACATACATTATTACATAGAAGGATAGGGAATGGCTAAGAAAGATAGGTATCTTGTTAAAGGAGGGATAGAAAACTTTGTTGGCACTTGTAGAGAAGCAACGGACCGTGACTATAGTCTACACTCTAAGAAGAAGAAATCGACGATCGGTGTGTGTGAGACTCAATAAAATAAAAAGAGAGAAGAAACAAGTTAACTCGATACATAAAATATGCATACAAACACACACACACACGTGTTATTCCTATATATACATATATATTTCATTATTATTACACGTTTCTTTATTTTATCTTCTTTTTTTTTCTTATAACAAAGTCCATAAATAAAATTAAAAATTATTGTGCACTTCGTTATTACTATGCTTCTTTATTTTTTTTCTTTATAGCAAAATTCATAAAAGAAAGTTAAAAAAAATATATATATATATGTGTGTGGGTGGAGGAAATAATAGAAAATAAAAAAAATTATTATCAAATAAAATAATGAAGTTTTAAAAGTAGTAGTAGTAGTGTAGTTATCGCATCGTCTACAAATACGTAACGCAAAATTATCCGGATATTCTTTGTGTCGTATTATATATATATATATATATATATATATATATACACATACATTCAAAACTGATTATTTCTTTTCGTTTATTCGTTATATATTATTGTTTAAGAAGAATAAACGTGGTGTGTACTTGTTGTTCGTGCTTTCCGAGAGAGCCAATATTTCCGTGACATAATTTCATGGTCGCAGGAAATCGAGGACATTCGTTTTTCCACATGAGAACTTACGAAAGTTAATCCTCAAGGAGGTTTTTATTTATCCTTCTCTCTTTTTTTTCTTCTTCTTTCTTTTCTTTTTCTAACTATCATCATCGAGTACATAAACGTATATATTAATTTTATAAATTGATTTAATTTATCGTAATACGTTAATACGTTAATATTTTATGTGTATGTTAATGTATATATTAATGTGTATGTGTAAGTAAGCGAGGAAATTTACACGATGGCTTTCCCTTTCTCGCGAGTTGTTCCTCTTGCTATCGTTTCTTTTTCATTCAGCGTAACGCACGAAAGTCCTCAGTTACTGGAACACACTGTGAACCACATATATTAGATATACACACCATATATACCAACAATATTATTCCCCTTATATTCACATCGAGTGTTCCAACATTATATTATCAGCAGGACGTATCGTTTTCGTTCTCGAAGATTTATCGTTAGTTCGTCGTTAACTCTCGTTATTATTACTCATACATCTTTATTTTTTTTTCTTTCCTTCTTTCTTTCTTTATTTTTTTTCTTTCTCTCTCTTTCCTTTCTTTCTTTCTTTCATACTTACTTTACTTACTTACTTACTCTCATTTCAACAGTTGAAACGACTTCCGGTTTAAGTCTCTCTTCCCCTTTATGAAAGAGAACATGCTTATCATTTCCCGTCTTTTATTATTATTTACTCTCATCGAAATCGGTTGATTTAAAGTCGCACCAAGTGAAAGAAAATCAGAAATTTATTGTTGTTATTGATATGAAAGATTTTTAAGTTATAATTACATTTTAAATTGAAACGTGAAATTTGGTATTATTTCTTTTCTATAACGCGAAGAAATATAAAGTTATTTAATTATAAGATTTTAATTGAGGAGAAATAAAAAAAAAGAACCTTTCTCTCTTAACTTTTTTTTTACGTAGGGATCAATGTGAAAAGTTGGTCACGTTATAAAGACGTATTGTGTAAATTAATATAATTATAGCAAATTTTATCTTGATTAGACAACAACGGTATGAATTGTTTTGAAATTACACATTCACACACACAATTAAAGTCATTGTATTAATAATAATAATAATTATTATTAGTATAAGCGTATATATATATATATATATATATATATATATATCAATTTGTATATTTGTAGTATTCTTACAATTACGATTCAATAGTAATTATTTATTATTATTTTGTTTATATCTCTCATAAAGAAATAATTATAGATCATCGATAAGTTATTTATTTTGTCTTTTTCTTTTTTTGTTTTTTTTTTCTTTGACATTATTATATTTCTTTTCTTTAAAATGCCAAATGCCACACAACGATCATTATGAGAAACGTTCTTGATGTATATAACTTGACCAATGTTGTTATGTTCGCACATCGAGACACTTTCATCGGCAATTTCTCCGGGTTTCGAAACTCCTTTCATTCTTTCATTCGTTCGTTCATCCGTTTAGGATACTTTCGACTTTCGTGTTGGAAGGTTGTGTGAGAAAACTTGTTTGGTTTACATTGTCGAAAATACTCTTTCTTTTTTCTTTCTCGAAGAAAAAGAAGCATCACGCAACACAATATATAGACAACATTTAATGCAAATAGTATTTGAATGCAATGCCGTTTTCCCGCCAACTGTGTGTGTCATGTGATACACCTCATCAAAGAGGGCGGACGACGTGAAAAAAAAGTCCGGGAAATAAAAATTGTTTTCTTTTTTTTTTCACGTAATTTTTTGTTAAAAATGTTACAAAGATTATCATCGATTCTTATTATCAT